CCTCCTCCTCCTCCTCCTCCTCCATGGCTTCCTAATTTCAGGGATTTAGAAAGTCACCTTGATTTCTCTCCCTTCCCATTCTATTTAGAGTGTCGGTCTAGGACCCTGGGAGATTTGGGTTCGAATCCCCACTGCCGCCACAGAAGCTCGCTGGGAGACCTCGGGATAGCCGCAAACTCTCGTCCCGGCCTACCTCACGTGGCTGAGAAAATGGTGGACGGGAGAATGGCATTCTAACTGGAGACAAAAGTGGGATGTAAATAAACACATGCAAATGCAAAAGCTGGGGCCAAGTTAGAGACGATAACGACTTCTGAAAACAGCTCCACACATCCAAAGTTAACACATCGAAATAACCCACATCAAATTCATTGGAATAATAAGGCACATGGGGGCTTCAGTCACACACACTAAATCAGGGGTGTCAGACATGCGGCACGGGGGCCAGATCAGGCCCCCGGAGGGCTTCTGTCAGGCCCTCAATGGAACTGGCTGTCTTCTGCTTCTTCTTCCAGTTCTGCTGCTGCTGCTGCCTCATCATAGGTTTGCAGCTTACGAATACACACCTGAACAGCATCCTCAAGACTGCAACAGCAGAGACATTTTGGTGCAATCATTCAGAGCAAGAGGTGTCAGTTATCAGACACTGTTAAATAAATAAAATATTGCAAGAGTGCTAATGTTTTAAGCGTGTTTTTAAGTTAAAAAAAGCCCTTTGTGTTTGTGTCCTTTATAAAGTTTATATCTCCGCTACCTGGTATTACAATTTATGACCCACGTGGCCCGGCACAACAAGGTCTCATTTATGTCATATCTGGCCCTCGTAACAAATGAGTTCGACACCCCTGCACTAAATAATCCACTTTCAATCAACTTTCAATGCACATCCAGTTGGAAAGTGCACTGAAACTGGATTGAAACTGGATTGTTCAGTGTGCATGAGGCTGCAGCCAGAAGCCCTTTCCGCACTCTCCTTCTAATCCATGTTCACCGCGGTGTCCCCCAAGCAATTCTGCACTAAAATCGAATTCAGCCTTATTATTAATCCAGGTTTTCTTCTTCATTCTACACTAAAATTGAGTTTAACCTTTTTATTCCGGATTTCTTCCTTATTCTGCATTACGTTAGAGGGAAATGAAGTTTTCAGTCTGTATTCTGAAAACCAGTGTTCCCTCTAAGTGGCATTAGTGTGAGCTAGCGCACCATTTTTTAGGCTCCGGCTCACACATTTTTGTCTCAGCTCAGGGAGGAGGGCTCCAGAGCAAGCTAATTTATGCCGCAGCCCAATCGCTTGCACACAGCTTTAATGCCAGTAGCTCACAAAGTAGAATTTTTGCTCATGGGACTCCACAGCTTAGAGGGAGCATTGCTGAAAACTCATGGACTTTTAAAACATTTTTAAAAGATATTCGTTGAAGAGGTTCTGGAACTTCTGGTGCGTTCCTCCCAGAAGAAAAGCCCTGACTACAACTGATCTCCCGATGACCAAGATCAGTTCCCCTGGAACAAATGGCTGCTTTGGAGGGGGAACCCTATGGCATTATAGCCTGCTGAGGTCCCTACCTTCCCCAAACCCCACCCTTTCCAAGCTCCACCCTGCAAACCTCCAGATCAGGGGTCATTTCCTGCGGGAGCACAAAGGAGCGGAGCTCCGGCAGTAAGGAGCCCAGGGGGCGGGCACATGCAACAAGCCCCACCCTCAGTCAGAGCAAGAAGCAGCCAGGAGCAGAGCAGTAAGGAGCCCAGGGGGCGAGCACATGCAATAGGCCCCACCCTCTGCTCCCAGCAGCCCTCAGTTGGGCCACAAGGAGCAAGAAGCAGCCAGATAAGTTGCAGAGACCCCCCCCCCAGCCCGCCTTCAGGTACAAGCTCTCCCTTCTCTGTGAGGGCAGATCTGCACGTTCCCCCCCCCCCTTCAATAGCTAGCAATCCAAAACAGTCCAGTGGAGCCTGAGTGGTGGGTGTTGCCTTCTGACACACTTCCGGTCAGGGGGTGTGACATATGCAAATAAGTTATGCTAATGTGTTATGCTAATGAGCTCCTGCACCTCTTTTTCTATGAAATGATCCCTGCTCCAGGTATTTTCCAACCCGGAGATGGCAACCTGACCACAGAGGAAACTCCTAACAGGGGGCTGTTTTTATGAATGTTATTGTGGAGAAGGGGAAGCGACACAGCCGCAACTCCCTGGAGGATTGTCCTTTAAGAAGAGCAGGAAAAAGAGCAAAGAAGGACACACCATTTTCTCAGAATATTGTTTGAAAACTAGAGTTAAGGGAGGGCAGGCTGGCCGACATAATTGGAAGATCTACCTTCTTAGGACGACAGAATTAAAGGAACAAAGTTCAAGTCCTGCACAGTGGTACTTTTAAGACCAACAGAGTTTTATTCGAGGTATAAGCTTTGGTGTACAAGCACACTTCTTCAGATACACGGAAGTGGAAGTTAACAGTCCATGCATACAGGTAGAAGGTGAGCAGCAAATTAGCATACAACATAATCAAGATGTTTAATGGATTCAAGGACCAAACAGGAATAACAAGGTTAGTTTATATGGTTACCATTTGTTTGAGATTAATTCTGGGGGAATACACAGTGAATTAAATGAGAAAGTGATCAGCTATGGAATGATGGTTCATCAGCTTCTGGGGATTCCCGACAGGCCCATAGCTATGGTGGGGCTTTGGGGGGCTGTGCCCCCTTTCTTAAGGGCACAGCCCCACAAGAATTCCTCCTGTAAATGCTTTTTCCAATCCCCTTTAAACATTTTTTTTAATGGCACGAGCTTCTTTTAGCAGAGTGGGGCACTGTGGTCGACTAATTCCCGCACTGAGCAAAGAGGTTGGAGTAGGTGGACCTCTAGGATACCTTCTAACTCTATGTCAAGAAACTGGTCTCCTTTAAGAGAGTTTTTTTCTGCCTAAGTGTTAGCGTTCTTGAGTACAGAAGTCATCACCCCCACCTGCCCACTTGTCATCGGAATTGTTGCTTAGGCTGGCAGAAGTGATTAACTTGCGGCAGCTGAGAACTGTCATCTAAAGTGGTTGACAGCTTGCAATGGAGAGACCTCTCCTGGTCACAGCTTTCTATGGGCTAAATGGCTTTTCTCTCTGCACTGAAAACTTCAGTCCCACCAAAACAAAATTTGCCCCACAAGCCGCAAAATCCTGGCTACGGTTCTGATCCCCGATGGACTTCGGAGTCTCAAACCAAGTTACAACTAAGCTAACCTCGGCCTGGTCAGACTGGGGCACCCGCCCTTGCTTAGAGCACGCTTGCAAATAGCCACTGTGGAGATCAGTTGTAATTGTGGGAGCTGTCCAGGCCCCACCTGGAAGTCAGCAATCTTGTCGCTGGCTCTTAATAGCTATATTGCTATTGTTCACCTGGTTAACACCTACCTGTCCGCCCTGGTCTCCATTTGGGATCCTCCATGTGACACCCAGGGGAACCCTGGTGCGATTCCTAGTAGCCACTCCCTTCTTTCCCAAAGCAAGACCCAACTCTGGCTTTCCTCTATCTCATCAGAGCAGGAGGGACTTCACACGAACCTAAGAGGCATCACTTGGGAGGAGCCATGACATTGGCATGTAGGAGGTCCCAGGTTCAATCCCTGGCATCTCCAGTTAAAAAGGACCAGGCAGGAGGTGATGGGAAAGACCTCAGCCTGAGACCCTGGAGAGCTGTAAAGAGGGGCCGTGGCTCAGTGGTAGAGCCTCTCCTTGGCATGCAGAAAGTCCCAGGTTCAATCCTCAGCCTCTCCAGTTATTTATTTATTTCATCACATTTCTATACCGCTCCTTCCCGGAGGCTCAGAGCAGTTTACATATATAGGTTTAATCATCTAACAAGGCCCCATATATTTCAGGGCAGATGGGTGCCTTACCAGGCACCTAAGCAGCGTAGGTCTTTTTTGTCTGTGGCGGGTCTTGCTGGAACCAGATGGTATTGTTCTTTGGCGGAGGTCTTTTTCTTCTTTTTGGCTCGGCTCTCCTGGGGCTGTCCTCTATGGCGCACGGCTGCCCGATGAGTCGCACTGGTCTCTGTCCCACAAGGCTCCAACCGCACTTACGTCACCATGCCTCCGTGCCACCCGGCCACGCCTCCACGAGTCACCTGCCGTCTGCCGCCGATCCGTCACCAGTTAAAAGGATCTGGTAGGAGGTGATGAGAAAGACATCAGCCTGAGACCCTGGAGAGCGGCTGCCAGTCTGTGTAGGCAATACTGGCCTTGATGGACTGTTGTGTACTAAGGATGAGTCAGCCTCAACTAGCCCTGGGGTCGGGTTGAGCTTGCATCCACAAACAATAGCTGGCTAGGATCCTAGAAGGGACCAATAGAGAAACAATGTAATGTAAATAGCCTATCGTTGGGAGTGGGGTGTGTTTGGGGTGTGGTGTCTTGCATGCTTAAAAACCAGGCTTCTGCCAGGGATTTTCAGTCTTTCTTCTCCTTGCTGAAATCACTAATAAAGAGAGCTGATCACTATACTTGGGGTCCATTCATCCATGGAACCCACTATTTAACATGGACCAAGGGTCTGATTCAGTATAAGGCAGCTTCATGTGTGTTTACTTTTGGGTCTGCAGGGAGTGTAGACTCAGGAACATCACAGAAGGATGCTGGCTGAACATTCTGCAGTCTGCCCCAGCACCCCTGTGGCAGCCATTTTGTGATAGGTCCCATCTCCTGTGTCAGCCATTTTGTGGTGGCACTCACTACTTCAGAATGTAAGAACATAAGAAGAGTCCTGCGGGATCAGGCCAGTGGTCCATCTAATCCAGCATCCCATCTCACACAGTGGCCAGCCAGTTCCTCTGGAGGACTAACAAACAGGGCACAGAGGCCGAGGCCTTCCCCTGAGAAGAACATCAGAAGGGCCCTGCTGGACCAGACCAATAGTCCATCTAGTCCAGCATCCTGCCTCACACAGTGACCAAACAGTTCCTCTGGAGGTCCAACAAGAGGGCAGAGAGGCCGAGGCCTTCCCCTGAGAGGAACATCAGAAGAGCCCTGCTGGATCAGACCACTGAGGGTCCATCTAGTCCAGCATCCTGTCTCACACAGGGGCCAACCAGTTCCTCTAGATGGCCAACTGGTTCTCCACATTCCAAAAGAAACCCAATAAAGTTCTGGCAGGATTGCCAGCTTCAGTTTGGGGAAGACCCGGTGATTTAGGGGTGGAGCCGGGGAAAGGTTTGAGTAGGGGACCTCAGCAGGGTACAGTGCCATGGAGTCCACCCTCCAAAGCAACCGTTTCCTCCAGCGGGACTGCTCAGTTGGAATTATGGACGACACTCCAGGCCCCACCTGGAGGTTGGCAGCCATACTTCAATGTGTGAAAACTCCCTGTGTGGAAGAAAACGAAACACGTTGGAGAAAGCAGTTCTAGTCCAACCTGCTCTCTGTGGAGCTACTTTCTACTTGGAGGTGATGGAAGAAAGTACCATCAACTCATAGCCAAGTTACGATGACCCCGTGGGGCTTTCAAGGAAAGAGACAATCAGAGGTGCTTTGCCATTGCCTGCCTCTGCATAGCAACCCAGGCAATCCTTGGTGGTCCCCCAATCCAAGTACTGACTAGGGCTGACCCCCCTAGTGGAGTGTCGGTGGCGAGCGGTGAACGGCAGAGCGGCGATCTACAAAAAGATGGCGGAGTGTGACATCCACGGTGGACTGGACGCAGTGGAGAGGTGGAGCCAGGAGACGCAAGGCTCGTGGAAGGCTCAGGCACGGCGGTGCCTTAGCGGACGGAGCCGGAGCCACGCCAGAGCGTACCTGTGCGCCAGAGGGGCCTGCCGATCCACCACCGGAAGACCGCGAGGAGAAGGAGGAAGTGAAAGCCAGACCGGGAGGAAGAAGATCAACAAAGACCTCCACAGGGTGCCGGTAGGGCAGTCCCCATCCCCAGCATATGTGGCCATAGGTAGGGATAAGCGATTAACTGTAAGCCGCTCAGAGACCCCCTGGGGGTTCGAGCGGGGTAGAAAGTTGAAAGATAAATTAAAAAATAATTTAAACAATGACCCTACTTAGCTTCCAGGATCTGACAAGACTGGGCTAGCCTGGGCTATGCAAGGCAGGACAAGAGACATCCAGATGTGATTTCCCATTGCCTGCCTCTGCATAGCAACCTGGACTTCCCTGGTGGTCTCCAGTCTAAATAATGAACAGGGCTGACCCTGCTTAGCTTCCGAGGTCTGATGAGACCAGGCTATCCTTGGCCATCCAGGTCAATGCAAGAGATGTTCAGAGGTGGTTTTTGCCATTGCCTGCCTCTGCGTAGCAACCCTGGACTTCCTTGGTGGTCTCCCATCCAATCACTAACCAAGGCCGACCCTGCTTAGCTTCTGAGATCTGATGAGATCAGGCTAGCTTGGGCTATCCAAGTCAAGGCAAGAAACAAACAGAGGTGGTTTGTCATTGCCTGCCTCTGCATAGCAACCCAGAAATTCCTTGGTGGTCTGCCATCCAAGTACTAACCACTGCCACCCATGCTGCTTAGCTTCCAAAATCTAATGCGCTCAGGCTAGGCTGTGCCATCCAGGGCAGTACGGAGACAAACAGAGGTGGTTTGCCATGCCCTGCCTCTGCATAGCAACCCAGAAATTCCTTGGTGGTCTGCCATCCAAGTACTAACCACTGCCACCCATGCTGCTTAGCTTCCAAAATCTAATGCGCTCAGGCTAGGCTGTGCCATCCAGGGCAGTACGGAGACAAACAGAGGTGGTTTGCCATTGCCTGCCTCTGCGTAGCAACCCTGGACTTCCTCGGTGGTCTCCCATCCAAGTACTAACTAGGATCGATCCTGCTTAGCTTCTGAGATCTGACAAGATTGTTCTAGCCTGGGCCATCCTAGTTAAGGGCAAGAGACAAACTGAGGCGATTTGCCATTGCCAACCTCTGCGCAGCAACCCTGGGCTTCCTTAGTGGTCTCCCATCCAGCTACTCACCAGGGCCACCCAGGCTTCCAAAATCTAATGAGATCAGGCCAGCCTGGGCCATTAGGTCAGGGCACTTGGAGGTCCGTTCGATCGATCCCCTCTCTGCCGCCTCTCCAAAAGCCGACCCGTGGACCTGGCTGGATTGAGCCCCGCCCCTGAATAATACAAAACGGCAGCCATGACTTTACTGCCGCTCCCGTCTTAATTTAGCCATGCTCTGCAGAATGAGCTGGGATTTATATGGCATTTTCGACAGGCCAGGGTGAACGAAAGTTACCCCGTTCTCCTTAGGAATCGGCTCCGGGAATAATGAATCCTTTCTTTCGAGGCAGGTTTTCCTTCCATAGTTAAGCAGGACCCCCCAAGTAACAGATCACTCTGCTTTTTTCAGGGGTCCCAGGAAGAGTCAAGGGCCCGATCCTGAGCATGGGGGAGGGGAAATAATCTTTCTCGTGGCTGTGCGTTTTTTAGTTAGCATAATTTAATATACAATACCCACTAATAAAATTAAGGGCAGTATATAACTCCGGGAACACCATAAAAAGGATGCTAACCTGAAAGATAAATATCTAACACTTTAGCCCGGGGGAGAATGCAAATAAAAGAGAAATATGAGTCCGGCAATTCCGGGTTAATAAATAACCTTAAAGAGAAATAATGAAGAGGACTTCTACAACTTTAATGGCCTTCTTAAGATTCATTATTTGGGAAATGGCTTCTCTCTCTCCTCTCTCCTGGCGGACGCTCCACAAATCTGCAGATGGTGGCCGGTTGGACGGCATGTGGGCCGGAGATGCCATTTATCACGCCACAGCCCAACAAGGGGTGGGGAGCGAGAGAGCTGTTCAAAGATGTTCGCCTCCTGGGACCCTTGGCGACTCTCCATGGGACAGGTCAACAGACAACATTGGGGGGGGGGGTGGAGGAGCGTTGTGCTGGTGGTGCGATCCACCTTCCTCTTTATTGATTTGCTTTATTTGTAGTCCACAAAATTGGACAACGATGCCGTCATAGAGTTGGAAAGGACCTCCAGGGTCAGGGTCATCTAGTCCAACCCCCTGCACAATGCAGGAAAGTCACAACTTACCTTCCCTCCCACACACACCCAGTGACCTCTGTTCCATGTCCAGAAGATGGCAAAAAAACCTCCAGGATCTCCAGCCAAAGTGGCCTGGAGAAAAACTGCTTCCTGACCCCAAAGTGGCAATCAGCATTTCCCTGGGCGTGTGAGAAAGGGCAACCCCTTCCTGCCTTCCCTTCTCGTGATCTGCCTAAGTTCACGGAATCAGCAGTGCTGTCAGGTGGTCATCTAGCCTCTGTTTGGAAACTTCCAAAGAAGGAGAGCCCACCACCTCCCGAGGAAGCCTGTTCCACTGAGGAATCACTCTTAACTGTCAGGAAGTTCTTCCTAATGTTTAGCCGAAAACTCTTCTGATTTAATTTCAACCTGCTGGTTCTGGTCTGACCTTCTGGGGCAACAGAAAACAACTCCGCACCATCCTCTATGTGACAGCCCTTCAAGTACTTGAAGATGGTGATCATATCCCCTCTCAGTCGACTCCTCTTTAGGCTAAACATACCCAGATCCTTCAACCTTCTCCTCATAGGACTTGGTCTCCAGGCCCCTTACTATCTTCATTGTTCTCCTCTGGATATGTTCCAGCTTCTCTATATCTTTCTTAAATTGTGGTGCCCGAAACTGAACACAATATTCTAGGTGAGGTCTAACCAGAGCAGAGTATCGAAATGGCGTCGCCAGAAACAGGGCAAAACCTGTGTGACAATCGGAAGGGGCTCCTTTGCACACAGCCAGTGCCTTTGGTGTTCCAGTGAACAAGAATGCATGTGCGAATGAGTTCAACCACTTTGTTTAAAGCAAGAGATTCAAAACTAGGCCTAGAGCTGGGGCTTTGAGGCACTGTCTTCTTAGTACCTGAGGGGCCACAGTGGGAGGGCTTCTGGAGTTCTGGCCCCACTGGTGGACCTCCTGATGGCTCCTGGGTTTTGGCCACTGTGTGACACAGAGTGTTGGACTGGATGGGCCACTGGCCTGATCCAAAATGGCTTCTCTGATGTTCTTATAAGGAGTAGAGGCCCATAAATGGCTATTAGCCACCAGGTACAGATGGAACACTCTATCTGGGGCAGTGATGCTCTGTATTCCTGGTGGTTTTGGGGGGCAAGACTGGGAGGGCTTCTGGAGTTCTGGCCCCACTGGCGGACTTCCTGATGGCACCTGGGCTTTGGCCGCTGTGTGACACAGAGTGCTGGGCTGGATGGGGCAACTCTGCTTTGGGAAATACCTGGATATTTTGGAGGTGGAGCCTGAGGAGGGCGGGGTTTGGGGAGGGGAGGGACCTCAGCAGGGTATTGTAGCACGGAGAAAGGGGCCTAAGCCCAAGCACAGACCACCAGATCAACAGAAGGAGAAGAACTTTATTGGCGCCGGTTCAGTCAGCGAAGCACGCTTTAAACAGACTGAACCCAGAGCAACGCAGGCTCCAGGCTTTTATACTGCAACAAGGTTACACGTCATCATTTACATCACCAGAGTGGAATTTTCCATTGACTAGGCTTACTTTTCCCGCCCAAACCAAACAAGCTCACTTCTGCCCCCTTATGACTGGAACATGAACAGCAACTATCCCCTTATATGGGCAAGGAATAATAAATGCCTACTTCACAAGGACATCAGCCTACTAACCAAATGCAGATTAGTCTGTGCTATTGTGTTCCCCAGAGCAACCTATGGCTGTAACAGTTTTATTTATTTATTTTATTTAAACATTTTTACCCCGCCCTCCCCGCAAGCAGGCTCAGGGCGGCTTCCAGGGGGCTACAGCCCATACATAAAATCCATAGACATGGGCTAAATTACGCATATGTTCTGTAATCTGTTCAATAGCTTTACCATTGTCATCAATCTGTAAACAACAATTTGAAAGGTTAAACTTTCCACAAACTCCTCCTTCAGTTGCTAATAAGAAATCTAAGGCAAGTCGGTTCTGGTAAACAGCAGTGCGAAGTTGTGTGTTGGTTTCGGCTAATACAGACAGAGCCAGGGAAGTTTCATTAGTTATGATTTCTAAAACCGCTTGTAGTCTAATTATTCGATTTAGCATATAAATGGGGGTTCTATAACCATATGTACCATCAGCTGCCCAGGTAGCTGGACCATATACTTGAATAATACGTTCTGGAGGCCATTCATCATCTTTCCAGTTACCTACAGCTAATCCCCGTATTTCTCGCTTTGAGCGTCCTAACTCATCATATACTGGGACTCCTAACCTTTCTCCGACAGTGAGGGGTAGGAGGAAAAAGCTAGGTTTTATAGTACCTAATATACAAGCACCATTCCATGTAAGGGGCAGGGTTGCATAGGCAGCTGAACCACATATCCAGTATAAGGAGTCTGGAGCTCTCCATTCTTTAGAAGTGCTACAGGGGTTGTCCCATAGGACTTGTAAACGACTCATATTAACATAAGGTGGGGCTTGGGTGACATTCGGATTAGCAAAATTAATATAGGCTTTAGGCTGGGTGCCATTACAGAACCATCCTTCTTCACAATCTAGGGCTCCCACTGAAATGTTAAAAGGAGCTCCCTGTCGTATAAAACAAGTATGACCAACTAAGGGATTTTTCAGGATCCATCTACTGGGGCGGTGGATATTATTCCAGGAAAGGTTGAAAGCATGGGAGATATTATTAAGTTCTACCTCTTTGGCCTCCCAGGGCCATTGTTCTCCCATATTGGTACCTCCACAGACATAACAATTCTTAACTGATAGTTCTCCTGCAATTCTTTCAGCAAGATCGATAAATAGATTCTTGGTCACTGGGGGGATTTCTATTACTTTCCCCATTTCTGACCAAAAGGTTGTGTGAATCTTCATTTCAGTGCTTTGGATTTTTGAACTAATAGTTTCTATGACAATGCGTCCGTATGGACTTTTTCGACCACCAATATCTATGCCAACCCCATACATCAGTTTCTTTCTTCCCTGGTTCTCGGATGCTCGGAAATGTAAGCACAAGGGAGTGCAGTGGTTATGGCTGCAAGGGGTTAGACTAGTTCCCTGGGATAACTTAAAGTACGGGTGGGCTTTCCCTCCTCCCACTATTCCACCTTGAGGTCCATCTGAGATATTACCATCATTAGAGACATACCAGACTTGTGCTTCAAGTTCATAAGTTGATGACAGAAACATTTTCCCTTCTTTGGCATAGCTCTGCTCTTTAGCTAGCCCTCCACACGTTTGTCTAATTTCCCCTGCACTATACTTTCGACTTCGAGAGATGGCATGACATATGTCAAAACAGACTTGCATACTTTGACTAGACTGGGAAGTGACATTGGACGCTAAAAGGGAAGAGGTGAAAGTATCAGGACTTGTGTACCATCCACTAATATAAGCATAAACATTAATACGGGCCCGAGTCACATTGGACTGGGGTCGAAAGCACATAAATTTCCCTTGATTTACACAAACACTGTAACTTATGCCCTCATGAGAACATTGGGTAACTACAGACGAAATACAATCAAAGTCAGAATGATAAATGAGGGTTTGTGAGACTTGACCTTCACGAAAAGTGGAAGTAATGCAAGAGGTACAAGCAGGAAACCCCATAACTGGGATGCAGATCATAGAAGGTACAAAAACACAATTTAACAGAAGCATCCACATCTTGGGCCTGTGCGTCGACTAGTCAGCTTCCGGTGTGACTAGAGCAGGGCCTGATGCTCCAACGAAGGTCTGATTTTTCACCCGTGCGCAGGGAGACCGTTTCCGGTAGGTCTCAGCAGGGGTTCTGGAGTCAATCTTCAGCTGTGTCCTCTTGGGGCGTGGGCCCAAGAGAAGCAGAGCTTGCTGGATTACTGGGCACGACACGTCTAAGCTTCACAGTAGTAGGATTAGATCCTGGCTCAGCAGTCCATCTAGTATGGGCAAGCTTCAAATTCGTCCAGTGGATCCAGGGTTTCCTCTCAACGACCTTCACAGCTGTAGGGGAACTGAGTAAAACAGTGAAAGGTCCCTCCCACCTTGGCCCTAAGGGCTCTGGTCTCCAATTTTTAACCCATACTGAATCTCCAGGACTGACATGACACACAGAATCAAACAAGGGAACTGGGAGACAGGCAGAGTAATGTCTTTGGAGTTTCTCAACTTGTCGTCCAAGGGCTTGTAATTCTGCTGAGGTGATTAACTGATGAAACCCATAAGCATCGGTATGAACTCCCATGGTCAGTGGGGGAGGACGGCCAAACATTGCCTCATAAGGAGAAACTGAAGTTCGTTTGGAAGGGAGGCAGTGCAGTCGGAATAACACTAGAGGTAGAATCTTAGGCCATGGCTGTTCAGTCTCTTGGGTGAACTTCCGCAAGGAGGCTTTAAGAGTTCTATTAGCTCGTTCTACTGCTCCTGAACTCTGGGGACGATAGGCACAGTGTAATTTCCAGATGATTCCTAAGGCTTTGGCAACTTGCTGAGTTAATTCAGAGATGAAGGCTGGTCCATTATCAGAGGAAACCCAGGTAGGTAATCCGAATCTTGGAATTAGATCCCTTAACATGGCTCGGGCAACTTCTGAGGCCTTTTCAGTGGCAGTTGGAAACGCTTCTATCCATCCAGTATGCGTACAGACAAACACCAACAGGTAGTGATGACGACCAACTTTTGGCATCTCGGTGAAATCAACAACAAGCGAAGTCATTGGGGCTGGTCCTGGGGTATTGATTCCTGGAGGTCGTCGGGGACCTTCTCTAGGATTGTTTCGGGCACAGGTAACACACTGACGGCACACGAGGTCTGCTAATGCTGTCTTCCGTTCCAGATGAGCCCAGCGGTCTAAGGCTTTAACAAGACTGGAAGATCCATAATGGGTATTAGCATGAAGGGCTTTCATTATTTCATAGCCTAAGGAGGCTGGAATCCAAATTTTTCCTGTTGGCAAGATCCACCAACCTTCCTCATTCTTTTTTGCTGATTGCTGGTCACAGAGGTAGTCTTCATGTTTGGTGTAACGAGGCGTCCAAGCTGAGACTGGAGTGGGGAAGACAGGACAGGCTAAGACTGACGGACTAGGAACTAGAGTGCGGAGACAAAGTTTTCCTTCTGCTGCTTCCTTAGCTGCTTTATCAGCACGACCATTTCCTTCTGCAATTGGGTCAGACTTCCGTTGATGTCCTCGACAGTGGATTATTGCAATCTTAGTTGGCAGATTGATGGCTTCTAGCAGAAGACGAAGATTTGGCCCATATTTGATATCCTTTCCAGCGGCTGTAATAAATCCTCGGTGTTGCCACAGCATTCCATGTGCATGGGCTGCCTTGAAAGCAAACATTGAATCGGTGAATATATTTGCAGCTGCATTCTTGCTTAGATGTAGGGCAACTGTCAGGGCTATTATTTCTGCTAGTTGAGCAGATGTTCCAACGGGTAGAGATTCTGCTTGTATCACCTGATGGTCATCTACAACAGCATAGCCTGCTTTGCGACGTCCTTGAGGGTTGATGAAACTGCTACCATCACAGTACAATATTAAGTCTGGCTGCTGAAGGGGTTGGTCACGAAGGTCAAGACGAGATGCAAACAGCTGGTCAGTGGTTACTAGGCAATCATGCTCAACATCTTCACATGGTACTGGCAACAAGGTGGCTGGATTTATGTTGATGACAGGAGCTAGAGATACACCTGGGTTCTCGAGGAGAACTGCTTGGTACCTGGCCATACGTGAAACTGTCAGATATTTGTGACCACGAGCTTCTAAAATGGTCTTAACTCCGTGTGATACAAACACTGTGAGTGGGGCTCCCCAGGTGAATTTGTTTGCTGCTTCAATAAGTCTACAGCAGGCAGCAACAGCACGTAAGCAAGGGGGCAGACCGGCTTCTACAGCATCCAGGTTTTGGCTAAGGTAGGCCACAGGCCGATTGTGAGTCCCAAGTTTCTGGAGAAGGACACCTAAAGCAACACTTTGCTTCTCATCTACGCAAAGGGAAAAAGGTTTTTCTGGATCTGGCAGTCCTAAGGCAGGAGCCTCAATGAGCCGTTGTTTCAGGGTCCTAAAGGCAACATCTTGATCTGGGCCCCAGACAAAAGGTTCCTGTGTCCCCCCTTTGGTAGCTTCATATAAGGGTTTGGCCAAAAGAGCAAAGGAGGGAATCCATAACCGACAGTAGCTAGCTGCACCTAAGAAGCCTCGTAGCTCTTTGCGACTCTGGGGTAGAGGTATCTGGCACACAGTTTCTTTCCTTGCATTACTGAGAGACCGTTGATTCTTAGAGATTTCAAATCCTAGGAACTGGACTCGAGTTAAGCAGATCTGGGCCTTCTTGAATGAGACTTTATAGCCACAGGCATCAAGGAGACGGAGAAGGTTAAGGGTGCCCTGGGAACATCGATGAGGGTCAGGGGCACAAAGTAACAAGTCATCCACATATTGGATTAAGGTAAGGACCCCTTCTTGGGTGTCAAAGTTCTCTAAGTCTTTACCGAGGGCCTGTCCAAACAATGAAGGAGAATTTTTGTAGCCTTGGGGCAAACGAGTCCAAGTGTACTGACATGGGCTGGAGGCTCCAGGGGCTCTCCATTCGAAGGCAAAGATGTCTCTGGACTGGTGGTGAAGTCCAATACTGAAGAACGCATCTTTCAAATCCAAGACAGTAAACCATGCAGCCGTGGATGGAATCAGAGTCAGGATTGTATAGGGATTTGGCACTACAGGGTGGATAGCTTCTACTTGAGTATTCACTGCCCTCAGGTCTTGGACTGGGCGGTAATCAGGATTCTTGGGGTCTGGAGAAGGCTTAGGTACTGGAAGGATCGGAGTATTCCAGGCAGATTCACAGGGGATCAGGATGCCATCTTTCAGGAGTCTCTGAAAGTGTTTGGTTAACACTCTTCGGGCATCTTCACGAATAGGGTATTGACGCTCTCTCACTGGATTGGCAGTAGGTTTAAGGACCACAACTACAGGAGGTTGGTGTTTAGCAAAGCCTGGGGGATTATCTTCTGCCCATACAGTTGGCACTTCATTTCGGTAGTACAATTTATCCTGCACCTTTTCCTTGTCATAAAAAGCATCTTTATCAGTCTGATACTGGACTTCTTCAGGGTCACCATCAGGGTGTCTTCTAAATCCACATCCCATTAGGACCTCAGGAAGTCGCCACTCTTCTGTAGCATCAACCTCTAAATTACAACACACTAGTGAAGTTTGAGTCTCTGGAGGTAAGGACAGAAGTGCTGAGCCATCCGGAGTATCAAAGGTTATGGAGGCACGCATTTTAGATAAAAGATCTCTCCCAAGCAAATTAATCGGACAGCTGGGATTTAAGAGAAAACGGTGGGTGACCCGGTGACCTCCTAGAGAACAGGTTCTTGATTGGAGGTATGGGAGAGCAAGTTTCTTCCCTGCCATGCCTACAACTGTTAGGCTATCTTTAGTGGGCAGAGCAATGGGTGTCGTTACAATGGATACTTCAGCCCCCGTGTCTAACATGAAATCAACAGGATTTCCTTCAATATTTAAGCGGACCAAGGGCTCCCGAGGGCCACAATTGACAGAGCCCGGTCGCCCCTAATCATCATAGTTCATTCCGGCCATACCAACAAAGCCATCTTCCGACTTCCCTGCAGGGTAGGTGCGGCTGTACCGGCTTTCATTAACTTGCCCTCTTGGAAGGTGGTTAAAGCTCTGTCCTCTTCCTTGGCCTCTAGATCCTCCCCTCCCCCGGAGTCTGGACTGGCGGTTCGGACATTCGTTTTTCCAGTGGCCATCCGCTCTACAGTATGCACATTGGTCCCGGCCTAGGGTTCTAGGACCACGGGGCTCAAGGTTGGATGTTGGGGACGGGCGGTCATACTCATGGCCTTGGATCACTGCTGCTAAAATTGCTGCCTTTCGTCTATGCTTAGCTTCTTCTTCTTTCTTCTCTTCTTTATCTCTATTCACAAAAACCTTCTGGGCCACCTCAATTAATTGGGACACGTTCATCCCTTGGAACCCTTCTAACTTCTGTAATTTGCGTCTAATGTCAGGTGC